AACTCTGTCCAAAAGGACAAGCACCCATCGGTTCCTATCCCTGTCCGACATTGCAAGATGTCAGCCACAGACCACCGTGCTTCCATTGCAGAGACTAATCCAATCGCATGAGGCCTTCATGCAGACCGCAGGCTCCGGGGCAGAATCACCCAAATCTTTCGGGTGGGCTGCCAGAAAACTAAGTTCAACGTGAGAAATTGTCAATGACCAGATAGGGACAAGGAAATTAAATCTTCTCGAGGTAAACAAATTCTGGCCACAAATAGAGCGAAAACCAATCAATAGACCCTGGATGACCATTCAGATCTCACCTTCAAACCATAACTTGTTCAATCGCATCTGCTAGAAACATGACAGATGTATAATGAGAATCAAATAGGGAGGAAGCCCTGATGAACCTTCATGTCCTTTTCTACTAGGTGGATTATTCTGCAACAACACCCTTTCAAGGCATGAATTGTGACCTAGAAGTACAGAGACTTCACCCGATAGAGTTCACCTCATTACTGGGAGGCTTGAGTTCCTGAACCTGTACCCGGGAGAGGCGGGAGAGTAATTAATCACCGAACCCTAGAACTAGTACAACTTCCACGAAAAATACTCATACGAAGCAAATGATTTGGCAACATGTTACCCCAAATTAAAAGCGGTTTACTAGCCGTTAAGAGACCTACATAATGCAGGGGCCGGGGATGTTCAACTGCTCCCAGCTACTAGGGGATTACAACAGACCCCATGCAGTTTTCAACTGGCATGACAAGACTAAAGTCGGTATCACCAGCCACTGCTCGTAGGTTTCAATGCAGCCAGCAGTAACTACCTGGTTGATCCAGGCTATTGATTCCCCAGGAGGCCTGGTACAACGGGCCGCGGGGCGCGTTGATCGGAATTTCCAGATGGTAAACTCAGGTAAACTGTTTCCCGAAATCATTATTATTCATGCAAATTTGCAAAAATTTATTACTGTGTAAAACGTCTAAAAAGTTGAGAAATTATTTTATAAAATCTAGAACACAATATATTCTACAAAATTTCCCAAACAAGTTAGCCATCCACGGAATTTATATAAAATATACAGTAATACGTTATGTGCCCTTGTACATTTTTAATTGCCTTCCAAAGATGAATAAGGGGGGTCAAACAGCAGATGGGATTGAATAGTGGGACTACAGGATGGGTAAATGGTGATATACACAGGATGGGTGTTGAGCTAATAAAGATCACTAATACATTAAATATTATCCTGTAAATGTCGGAACATTTATAAGATTTCGCTGTCATTACAGCATAAAAACACATAGCTAGTAGAGCCAGGCTGAAGAACTTCATTTGTGTTACAGCATCTCCCACACTTCCACTCATACTTGACAATTTGCAATACTAAATATATCATCAGATCATGACTCCATAAATTCAATCCACCTGCAGTCCTAAAATTCAATTGTAATTGTATCTAAGATGCTAATCCCGTGTGCGTCTTCATCGACATATCAGATGACTGACATAGGTAAAGATCAGGATTATATTATTCATGGAGGAACTCAAACTTTTAGATTGAAACGCTGGCACTAATTGGGTTTATCAAGACACAAGGGTAACTACATTCTTCACAAGACACTTTCATAACGGCCACTTCCTTTAAACTTGGTAACTTTAAAGTTAGCAGTCTGTCTCCACACAATTCTTTAATTGGGGTTAAACGGATAGGTTGTTAAGGAGTTTGGAGGCAATTTATACATATGTTTTTGCACGATCCCAAAACCATATCACATTGTTAGTGGTAAATTACAGCAATGACCATAGCTGTGCTAATATTCTTTCGCACATTACTATATGAATCAATGTTTAGTATAGAGCAAACCCAAACCCCACTAAAAGCAAGTACACTTCAAGCTAAGCAGTCTACTCATACAAGACACACAACCTCTTATTGACGCCACTAACACTAGGTAACCCACACCAAGTCTAGCAGTTCTGTCTACTAAACACTTTTATTGACGCCACTAACACTAGGTAACCCACACCAAGTCTAGCAGTTCTGTCTACTAAACACTTTTATTGACGCCACTAACACTAGGTAACCCACACCAAGTCTAGCAGCTCTGTCTACTCATCACTCTTACTGATACCACTAACACTATGTGAATAAAATGCACCAAGATGAGAAATATAATATCACACTACGAGTCATGCAGTAGACCTACTGTTTTAATATTAGCAACCAACAATAGTATTTACACTTCATTTCAATAAGTTATTTATAATCTCCTGTTAATTGGAGCTACAAAAAATGTTCATATATCCGTACCCCGGACGAAGCACTTATTACAATTCATCGCAGCCTTCAGAAATACTAGTCATGCACTCCCCGAGTGGCTTAGATCTACTGCGTCGTTCATGTGCGTTTACATTTATTACACGCAAGTCTTGTGACTATGCAGGTGAAGCGTCCAAGGATGTTAAGAATTATCTAATGGTATGTCTTGAAATCACAGGAGCACTTACTCTATAATTCAGCTAATTTAGATGTAAAGGGAGAATTCTAGTTGCGATAATTACAATTCAAACAATTTATAAGAATATTACATAAATAGGCATGGGACAATGAGGGCATATGTTACATAATAATAATTTTACAAAGCCCATATTACGTTCAACGTTTTAAAATTTTAATGCGAGCTTTTAATCCCAAATTTGAAATGGGAAGCACATTTGGTATGAAAAGAACGGCAGCAATAACTTCAGGTACAGTTGACACTCAGGAGGAAACAAATATCGATTTGATAATGCTGAAATTAAAGTTTGTGAAGCAAATTAACAACTGACAAGACAAGAAACAACACAGCGCCCGCAACCTTCAGTGGGGGACTGACGCAGTACACAGAAGACATCAGAAATTAATTCGACTTGCTAAAGGTAAATTTATATTATTATTTATTATTAAGGGGAGTGCTAAACTCGTAGGGGTCATGCAGTGCCTGGAGAATATAAGGAAATCTGGCTTGATTAAAGGGAAGGGTAGCTCCATTTCTTGGATGAAAATTTTTTAACGCCCTCTAGGAACCTCCCTCCCACCTTGGAAGGATAAACAGTCGAGAGTCATAAGAGACGCGAGTTGCCGATATGATGTAGAAGACCCCAGGGCCATGGCCAAAAACAAGCGCCAGACGGGTTTTTTTATCTTGTATTTTTTGTTTTATATGAGGGCAGCTGGATGAACCACCTCGGGAACTGGACGCCTGTGACAGGATGACGTTGGGAACCAGGCACCCGCCTGTGATATAACCGCGGGAACTAGGCACCGCTAAGATACACGACGACCTGGGGAACCAGGCACCCGCCTGTGATACGACCGCGGAAACCAGGCGCCCGCCTGTGACATGATGGACGACCTCGGGAATCAGGCGCCCGTCTGAGATATGGCCTCGGGAACCAGGCGCCCGCACATCTGCTGGTATGGTATCCTCAGAATTAATTGGTCTAGTTAGTAACACTGCTTCTTTGGACTGAAGAATGGAAGGCAATCAACTGTGATCAGAACAAAAGGAAGAAGCTTCAATCCCTTGGATCACAGCCCTTCACCAATAAGGGTTCGTGATCATTCAGTGAAATGAGTGAGAGAACTGGGAAAAACACCAGGAGCAATACGCATTCGGTTATGACTCCTGGATCTACAGGCAACCTCCGGTAGTACTTTTTTTTTCCATCAGAACGATCTAATCCCACCAGGTAGTGTGGCAATGACCACATCACCGCAATTAACAGAATTTTAGGCGAAATCCACACAGATTACTTTCCTATTCCTCCGAAAGTAAATTTTTGTTAAATATTTGTCATTTAAGCCAAAGGAGATGCTGAAATCTTCAGGAAACAGCCAGGGAAGAAGCCTTCTTCCAGGAAAGGCCCAGTATCTACTTGAACGAAAGTTAGTTTAATGTTTATTATGCACCCCATACCCATCCTGTGGGCGGTAGTCAGAGGTACATAATGGCATAGTACCGACAAATAGGAAGACAAAGACACAAGTTGCGGAAAGAACGTACCTTTTATACCTTACAATAAAGTTCACACACATATATGTTACTATGTATAATGTGTAATTGTACCTAAATAAACTTACCCCCCATTCACAAAGTACCCCCACCCCCCAAAAAAAGGCCCTCGAGTCCAGCAGTAACAAGACCATAAGATTGAGTTTTCGCTAAAGCTTGCTTTATTAAGTCTAAAAAACAATAAACAGCCGATTTTTTCAGATATGTCAATCCATCCTGGTGTCACGAAAGGTCAACATATAGACACATAGGAGTAACTATTAAGTGTCCAGAGCCATGACTGTACTGATCTAGGATGCCCAACCCTGGAGTTGATAATGGTACCTACCGAGACTTAGTCCTTCCTCCCTTCATGAGACTGTCTAGTTGGTACTCTGTCCAGTGCAACCTATTATATATCCCGCTTTGAGTTGTGTCTAATACCAGAATACCTCATTCTGTGCAATTGTTCACTCAGGTTTATATTATCACTACCCGCAATATGAATGGAAAATCATAAGCAGTGCAAGGAGAGTGATATTAGTTATGACAAATTTTAAGTTAATATAAATTTTTGTTTTGTATATGGTTCATGAACTTCAACGCCATTCTGGCTGAATATTGATATGGAGGAGTCAAAAATCAGGTTTATAGCAGTTTATCAACTTATTATTTGCATTACTACGTGATGTGATGAGAATTAAAAAATTCCACATACTATACAGGTGCCGCTACTAGAGTTGCCTAGTCTTTTACTATCAAATATATTCCAACAAGTGTATTATACATAACGCAAAGTATATATTGCTGAATATTCTTGTGTGGTGGGGTCTTTGCATCTACTTATTAGTGGAAAAACAATAGGAGAGAGAATTAGTAGCAGAGAAGCGATTAGATTGTGCATGGTAGCTGCACTCGAGTACATGCGTAGTGGACAAATCAGGAGAGACAATCTGAAGGCGGGGTCACTACGTCACACACACACCCACTATATATATCTCAGAGTCTGCCGTTGCAAATCACATCAGTTTGCAACACAGCAAGATATAGTTCAGCGAATTTCAAGGTGACTCTTCTTACAGCTATCAATCTGAAGCTTTGAGCCTGACCACAAGTCTTACGCTCTCTTTTAGAACTTGCTATCACTTACGCTCTTTTGGGAGCTTCCTACCAAACTCAAGCTCTTTCAGAGCTTGCTATTAGTCCCACGGTATATGAATAGCACTTGTACTCCGTCTCTACCAGTACATCACTGTTTTTTTTAAGCATTGAACCCAAGTGTTCACAGGAAGATGATTAGAGTGGTGAGAGAGAACACTTACAAGACACATATGCCTCGTCTAAGCTCAGGTAAGCCGACATCTTTCCGCTATGCTGTATGACCCATGTATGTTTAGCGCTTAGTTATGATTATAATAAAACAATTCACTACACCACACGTTAATGCACACTTTTTCTCTTTAATAGTTAACATTTGGCTCAGTGACATTGTAAACAGCACAAGTAGAAACTTTTTTGCACTTTATATGAAATGCCTCTGAGTAAAATACTCGAGAAATATTTTGAGTGACCTTTAGTTTAGCGATCAATGATTTTATTTCGATTTTTGACCTGGATTGTTAGTATCCCAGGAAAGTGTCTGGCTTCATTCCATTCAAATTCAAATTTTATTTTCAAAGCATGTTACACTTAACCACTGTATTTCCTTGTACTTCTATGTATCATGTTCAAATTAATAAATAAATAAAAAGAAACAATAAGCTGTTAAAACTTTAGGATTTCATTAGTATATTAAGCGAACAATAGCGTTAGGCCTAAAAAAAATGTATATACAATACACACATTAGTTACCATCAAATATTTTCATCCTCAGCCTATAGTGAGTGGTGAAATATTTATTGCCGGAAGTCTGAATAAATGAAGAATGGGTATAACTGAAAACTACTGCATTAGCGAAACACTGTAAAGCGGTGCCCGCCTGTATATACCTATGTACTGAGTTAGACAAAAAAAATTGAACACCTTGCTCTATAACATTTTCTATTTTCAGTATAGAGTTGGTTCTCCATTTGCAGCTAAAACGGCACCAATTCTGAGCCATTCCTAAAACAAAACAAACAACAAACAAACCCTCAAGCAAAACCTGTTCTAACTCTTTCAAAGACGATGCGTGGAGGAAATCAGTCACTGACTTTGTTCCAATTGACCCCACAGATGTTCGACAAAATTTAGATTTGACGATTGTGGGGGATGGGGGGCAATCCAAGTGTTCGACTTTACTTTCGTGCTCTTCATGCCAGTTCTGGACTAGTGGTGTGAATTGGTGCATTATTGTCTTGGAAGAAAGTGCAAAAAGAGACCTGTAACATATTTAAACTGATTATTCAATCATTTGACAGTTCAACAGTTCAATTAGCAGGTGTTCATGTTTTGTCCAACCCTTGTATGGATGGATGGAGCAAAATATGATAAATCTTAGTGGAGGGGTAGGGGTCATCCTAGGAAAATATGGAGAGGGGGTAAAAGAGGTTTTGTGTGCAAGGCTTGGACATACAACAGGCATGTGAGCACGTTCGACAGGAGTGAATGGAAATGAATGGTTTTTGGGACTTAATGAGCTGTTGGAGTGTGAGGAGGGTAATATTTTGTGAAGGGATTCAGGGAAACCAGTTAGCCAGACTTGAGTCCTGGAGGTGGAAAGCACAATGCCTGCACTTTAAAGGAGGGGTTTGGGATATTTGCTGGCAGTCTTCAAGCTGGCACTGGACAAGCACCTAAAGTCGGTACCTGACCAGCCGGGCTGTGGCTCGTACGTTGGTTTGCGTGCAGCCAGCAGTAACAGCCTGGTTGATCAGGCTCTGATCCACCAGGAGGCCTGGTCACAGACAGGGCCGCGGGGGCGTTGACCCCCGGAACTCACTCCAGGTAAACATCTGAACTGTCTTATCTGAGTGCCTCTGCAAAGACAGTGATTTATGTGTGAATGATGGTGAAAGTGTTTCTTTTTTAGGTCACCCTGCCTCAGTGGAAGATGACCGATGTGTTGAGAAAAATAAGTAGAGAACATTCCAGCATGTAATGCATATATTGTAAGATAGAGTAACTACATAGGAATCATGTACTCATTTATGTTAAAAGCCTTCCATTATCTAGGAATAACTGAGAAAATAAAATGTTTCAGAATTCTACGACTATGAGGCTATAGAGGATGAAGCAGCAGCAGCGTTACTAGCTAGACACATCATGGGTCTGGTGCATCGTGCACGCAAAAACAAGCTACTTAACCTCACCCATGTCCACCAGAAGCCTATACCTACACATAACACCCAGGTAATTATCTCTACCATCACCTTGTATTTATTAAACTTGTCTAAAAATAAGTCACATTAACCTGACTGGAGCAATTCAAAACTGTACAATTTGGTGATGAAAACTGGACAATATGCATCCATCCTGGGCCATCATCATGTGAATAATATTCAGACTGGATTAAAATGTCAACTTTTCATTTTCAATTTGTGGGTTATAAATTTGCATAAAACATGTCATAATTTTCTGCAGTATTACACAAGACTTTTTTCCTGGATACAAGGATGTTAAACCTTGTACAATATACTACTTAATGCAAGGAATGTTTTTAGCAGAGTATGTGATGTAACTCGATGGTATGTACAGGTTGGGTCTGGATCACAATGGATAAGCAAGATGTTGCAAACAGCCAAGACCAGAGTTCCAGTGTTCCTACCACAAGATTTCCTACCTCGTATGGTCAGAGACATAGTCAGGATGGTCGAGGGGGAACGTAATGGAATCAGGTGAGTAATAAAAAGTAATCAGCTTTGATCCAAGGAAGAAAAAGTAACTCAAATTCCTTGAATTAAGTCCTTCACTAGTATCAAAGCACAGTTCTAGTCTGCTGAAAAAAACTCAGTGCGAGGCTGAAATATACATCACTCGCCTTTGTGCAACTTTACTATTGCCAATGGCAATATCAAGATTTTCCATATCGTGTTACAATATTCTTCGTACATTATGTTTATAAAAACTCATTACCATTCTCGGAATTTAAAGCTAAGATTAACATATCTATGTAACAACTATTCTAACTACCAGTATTCATATTCTAGGGGTTGTTCCTTATGTGTGGAGGTGTGGGATGGTGGAAGAAGAGTTGTGATAGGAAAAATAGTGTGTGACCCTAAGGTAACCTCTACCTATACACTGTATGTGAGGCTAGTTCGGGCACCACCACCACAACCCCAGCAATCACTCTCAGGTAAGTAACTTAAAAAAATCAAAACTGAAATTAAAACATTAAGACTTGGTTCAGTGATGTAAATTTTTGACAGTGTCTACAGTTTCTGTATTTATCAGAGTACTGTATGATGAAATTAACATCAAGCTTTTTCAAACTAATGGACATTTCTGTATCTGTGTGCTACTTAATCTAGATCTGAATTATGGTACTTTTGAACATAGATCAGAACCAATTTCAAATTGTTTTTAAAATTTTGCAAATTACATATACTGTACAGTATACAGAAATAAGGGTTATTAGCTGAACTTTAAAACCCTTTTCTCTCACACTATTGTTTTGAAGTATAGTGCCTACACTAAAAAAGGAGGGGTTTGGGATTCTTGCTGTTTGGAGTGACATCTGAACTGTCAATCGTATCTGCATGCTTCTATAAAGACAGTGATTATGTGTGTATGATGGTGAAAGTTTCTTGTTTTTGGGTCACCCTGCCTCGGTGGAAGATGGCCAGCATGTTATAAAAAAAAAAAAATACACAACGTGATAAAGAATATTTCATCCACATCTTGATTGTGTTTTATAAAATTTCAAAGTTACTATATACATATAAACAGGATTATTTTTTAAGGCACACTGTAAATAAAATTATTTATCTTCCAGGTTCTTGAGTAGCAACAATAATGAAGCAATCTACATCAGTCCAGGCTACCAACTAGAGAAAAGACGCCATAAGATATAATACATGATGACCATCAGTTTGATTCACTGTACCTGCCATCAACACATTGACAATCATATACGTATACGTGTACTATTACATTTTTAAAATATTCCATTCTCACGACTGTGACTAACTGAAGGTACTCTAGTTGCACTGATTAAACTGAACAACTGTTCAATCTTTGTGCAGTGTAATTCAAGAAATTTTCAACTTTGAAGACATCTTTAAGGCCCTAGTTAACCTCAGGGGATTAATAATCCAAGAAAATTCAATATTAGTACAGATTAGTGCTGCTACTTCACACTATTAGACTGGACAGTGTACCTGTTTACTTACCAGTGTTGGTTGTTCCTAATACCTCTGAAGTGTAAATTTTATTATTTATGTGGTGTCTAACTGTTATCACATTCATCTTCCTTGTTAGTTTAATACATGTATATTTATTTATTATGCACCTCACACCCACCCTGTTGGTGGTAGTCAGTCAAAAGATTACAGGGGTAAGTAATGGGTCCAAGGATTGGGCCACAAAGTTTTGATAACTGAACAAGTTACAGTGGTAATGAACTATTTACTTGCATATTCATAAATCATTTACAGCCATGTACTCATAGTTACATAATCAATCATTAAATTACTGTAAAATGTATTTAATATATGTATTATGTAAAACCAGAAATGAATCATCATAATATATTTTTGTAAGAATTTTCTAAATAAAAATTATGTAAAATTTTAAACGTACCATTTATCATTTGTCCAAACCTTTACTGCAGTTATACTGGGGGGAGGGGCTATGATTGGGGCTTATTGCAGTATTATTTTATATTCACAAGAAGAGCACTAAACATAGGGGTCGTCTGGGGAAAATTGGAGGCAATCATGTTCGATGTATGCAATGGGAGGTCAGATCCAATTTTTTTTCCTCAAGCCTCTCACTAGTAACGAACATCCCCTTTAAGGGTTGACTTCTGGTTGACAGGTGACTTGCAGTCATCTTTTAGGCAAAGAGTAGCAATTTATAAATCATTTTATGACTTCACATTTTAATTGATGATGTCACAGAGAAGTAACTCATTTTTTTTTTCTTAATTACATGTATCATTCAGTCATCTGAACACATTCACTTCTTCGATACTCCCCTCCAATGTGATATCCTTTTTTTTTTTTTGCCAAACTCGTTCGATACCCTCATCACCTTACTCTTATCTACATTCACTTTCAACTTTCTTCCATTACACACCTTATCATTTTTACATTATTTTGTCCCCCTTCTTTTTATATAAAAGAACTATACATGTTCTTTGCCAGTCCCTAGGTACCTTCCCCTCTTTCATACATTTATTGAACAAAGGTACCAACTACTACAAAATTATATCCCCACCTGCTTTTAACATTTCTGTCATGATCCTATTACTAGCTGCTTTACCCCCTTTCATTCTACCCAATGTCTCGTGCACCTTCCCCACACTCACGTCTGGCTCTTCTTCACTTCTAAAATAAGTTATACTCCTTGCCCAATGCATGAAATTATTGCTTCCCTCTCTTCATCAACATTTAACAGTTTCTCAAAATATTCCTGCTATCTTCCAAATACCTCCAACTTCTCATCTACTAACTCCCCTATTCAGTTTTTAACTGTTAAATCCATTTGTTCCCTAGGCTCTCTTCACCTATTTATCTCACTCTAAAATTTTTTTTCTTATTCTCAGCAAATTTTTTTGACAGCACCTCACCCACTCTATGATAATGAATAATTAATAAGTGTGCCAACAAAATGATGTACTTCAGTACAGAATGTAGCAACATTACATTTATATTACAAATAGCCCCTAAATATTTACTATAATTGCCAATACTAAAGTTCAAACATGATTGAAGACTTAGGGCACAAAAATAAATCATCCTGCGTAGTAATGCTTGTTTGATTACTGTAATTAACATGAAATGATGCCTATGTAGTATTAGAGGAGTTATATGCTTCAGCCTTGTGGTAATGAGACAGAGGGAAACATGCACAGAATGAAGGACCTAAGTGCAAAATTGGATGATTCGAGTACATTTTTCACTAGCAATTTGGTAGTATCTTTTGGGCATGCAAATATTGAATTATGTTTGTATCATTCTATCAAAACTATAACTTGATCATTGTAGCTGCTGTGTAACCTACTTGGAAATAAAGATTTTTTATTTTTTGATTAAGTTTATTGTAAATAAGCCATCTTAAACATTTCATTACAGAAATTTTATGAAGTTTTACAGATATTCACACACTAGCACAAAAACACCCATCATAACAGGAAGGAACAAATAAAGAAAAAAAAAGGGATGACAAGCCATTAACAACTTTTCTCAGCACAAGATTCAGAGGTGTACACATGAAGTCAGAGGTGGTGCACAAATAAGGTCAGAAGTAGCACAATCTGGAAAAATTTTCATTCTGCTACTGTACATGACCTTTGAATTAATGCTGCTTCTAAACATCTTGTAATAGCTTAATCTAGTTCCTTAGCTATGACTGCTGCTCTTTTAATCCATGACCTATTTCATTAGAGTATTGAATGTCAGGTGAACTATCCTTTAATTTAGAAAGGTTTTTCCTTAATCATGAGATCTCTAATGAGTTGCAGTGATGGCGAATACATCTGCAAAATATAATTCAAATGTTTAATTTTTTTTTTTTAACACGCCAGCTGTCTCCATCGAAGCAGGGTGACCCAAAAAAAGAACACTTTCAACCATCATTCACACACAATCACTGTCTTTGCAAAGGTTTTCCAGACATGACAGTTTAGATGTCACTCCAAACAACCAATATCCCAAATCCCCTCCTTTAATATATTATATGGGAAGTAAAATGCCTGCACTCTAGAGTGGTTGGGATATTTGCTGTTTGGAGGGACATCTGAACTATCATATCTACATGCCTCTGGGAAGATAGTGATAGTATGAATGATGGTAAAAATGTTTCTTTTTGGGCCACCCTTTCCTCATTGGGAAACAGCCAATGTGCTAAAAAAAAATATACATATATATAACTTCTTTTTCTTTTTACCAGGCTATACGGGAAATGGGGTTATGTACTAACCCCATCGCTCCTGGCATTTTAGTTGACTTTTACAACACGCATGGTTACAGAGGAAAGATTAAAGGAGGGGTTTAGGATATTGGCAGTTTGGAGGGACGTCTAAACTGTTGTATCTGAGCACCTCTGCAAGACAGTGATTATGTATGAGTGATGGTGAAAGTGTTGAATAATGAAAGTTTTTTCTATCTTTTTGAGTTTTTGTTTCTTTTTGGGTCACCCTGCCTCAGTGAGAACTGGGTGATGTGTTGAAAACAAAAAATATTATATATAACTATTCACAGGCACTTTCCTCTCAACCTAATATTCTCCAATTATAATATCCATTAAGTTTTATTTGAGGAATACAAGGGAACAGCCACACTACTGTTATATTACTATGTTCCCAGTAGATTAAAGCAGGGACAGCCTTTGTGATTTGGATACTACAGTCAGATGTTCTTCCAAACTGCGAACATCTCCACCTATCTTATTACACTACAAAACATGATGACTTAAATAATTTCGGTAGCTACAAAGTAATATTTGGATGATAAGTCTTGTGTGAGCAAGGAAATCCCTGAATCCTAAAACATACAAAAATGAAGGACAGTGACCAAGTTATAAAAACAGCAAATTAAGTGAGGGCATGTAAGTGCATGAACACCTACTGTATTTAAGAACAGACAGATAGAAAATCTGTGACTTTTTAAGAGTACTAAATAAAAAAACAGAACAAAACAGCCATGGTTAATTTAATTTGCATGAAAACATATAAGTAACAATCAATAAGAATAGATATCCACTCTTATATGGGTGTGAAGCTTGGGTGGTAAATGCAGCAGTGAGGAGACAGTTGGAGGCAGTGAACATGTCCTGTCTAAGGGCAATGTGTGGTGTAAATATTTTTTTTTTTTCACACTGGCCGATTCCCACCAAGGCAGGGTGGCCCGAAAAGAAAAAATTTCACCATCATTCACTCCATCACTGTCTTGCCAGAAGGGTGCTTTACACTACAGTTTTTAAACTGCAACATTAACACCCCTCCCTTCAGATGCAGGCACTGTACTTCCCATCTCCAGGACTCAAGTCCGGCCTGCCAGTTTTCCCTGAACCCCTTCATATATGTTACTTTGCTCACACTCCAACAGCACGTCAAGTATTAAAAACCATTTGTCTCCATTCACTCCTATCAAACACGCTCACGCATGCCTGCTGGAAGTCCAAGCCCCTCACACACAAAACCTCCTTTACCCCCTCTCTCCAACCTTTCCTAGGCCGACCCCTACCCCGCCTTCCTTCCACTACAGACTGATACACTCTTGAAGTCATTCTGTTTCGCTCCATTCTCTCTACATGTCCGAACCATCTCAACAACCCTTCCTCAGCCCTCTGGACAACAGTTTTGGTAATCCCGCACCTCCTCCTAACTTCCAAACTACGAATTCTCTGCATTATATTCACACCACACATTGCCCTCAGACATGACATCTCCACTGCCTCCAGCCTTCTCCTCGCGCAACATTCATCACCCATGCTTCACACCCATATAAGAGCGTTGGTAAAACTATACTCTCATACATTCCCCTCTTTTGCCTCCAAGGACAAAGTTCTTTGTCTCCACAGACTCCTAAGTGCACCACTCACTCTTTTCCCCTCATCAATTCTATGATTCACCTCATCTTTCATAGACCCATCCGCTGACACGTCCACTCCCAAATATCTGAATACATTCACCTCCTCCATACTCTCTCCCTCCAATCTGATATTCAATCTTTCATCACCTAATCTTTTTGTTATCCTCATAACCTTACTCTTTCCTGTATTCACCTTTAATTTTTTTTCTTTTGCACACCCTACCAAATTCATCCACCAATCTCTGCAACTTCTCTTTAGAATCTCCCAAGAGTACAGTGTCATCAGCAAAGAGCAGCTGTGACAACTCCCACTTTGTGTGTGATTCTTTATCTTTTAACTCCACGCCTCTTGCCGAGACCCTCGCATTTACTTCTCTTACAACCCATCTATAAATATATTAAAAAACCATGGTGACATCACACATCCTTGTCTAAGGCCTACTTTTACTGGAAATAATTTCCCTCTTTCCCACATACTCTAACTTGAGCCTCACTATCCTCGTAAAAACTCTTCACTGCTTTCAGTAACCTACCTCCTACACCATACACTTGCAACATCTGCCACATTGCCCCCCTATCCACCCTGTCATACACCTTTTCCATATCCATAAATGCCACAAAGACCTCTTTAGCCTTATCTAAATACTGTTCACTTATATGTTTCACTGTAAACACCTGGTCCACACACCCCCTACCTTTCCTAAAGCCTCCTTGTTCATCTGCTATCCTATTCTCCGTCTTACTCTTAATTCTTTCATAATAATTCTACCATACACTTTACCAGGTATACTCAGCAGACTTTCCCCCTATAATTTTGCACTCTCTTTATCCCCTTTGCCTTTATACAAAGGAACTATGCATGCTCTCTGCCAATCCCTAGGTACCTTACCCTC